CACCACACCCACATATACATAGCCGATAGATACACACACACACATAAATTCTGATGCCACTATGCCACTACCGCCGAGTGTACACCAGACCTCTGATAGCGAGTTGCAGACAAATGCTCACTACAACCTTTGAATTTCTCTGAGAGCAGTGGGATCTTTGTGGTGGAAAAGGACATCCAAACACAAACTCAGAAATCAACAATACTTGGATCATGAATTCTTGAAGTCCATCTGCGAATACACTTTATAATACAAAAATCAAAGAAATAAATTGTGCACTTTTTTCGAAGCACGAACAATGGTCAGAAATTCTCCAATGTGCTTTGAAATACGTAATTCTTGTGAATTAATACTTGTTTACATGAGCTCTGTGTACGGTCATTGCGCTTGGGAATTCCCGTCACAAGATTCTTAGAATGATTTAAATTCAATTAAACAACAAAAATACCTTACACTTGTTAGCTGATTATATTTTATTGTTTAATATTTGGAATCACAATACAGGTAGCTTTCAGCTTTTGTCTAAAGTATGTTGGAAATTCCTTTGATCGATTTACGGAACTGACCAAAAGACAAATTACCAATTTCTAGATTCATCAATATGAGCGCGATTTTAATGGCCTAAAACATAAAATAAAATAAAATACTCTTAAAATGCCCTAAAAGCAGAGAAAAATGAAGTAAAAAATTTGATCAAAAACCATTCAGATGAACCAAAGCTGCTGGATACGTTACTGATGTAATTGAGGTTTCTTCCTTTCATTCAAGTGAACTCAGTATGCGAACTTTTGGTTTGGGCTGGACCTGGAAATCTCTGTCGAACAGACAATAGTGCTGATAGGTGTCACAGGAACCTTAGATTACATACACTGAATGGCTGACATTACAATTTCTGAGTGAAGTATCGAATAGACTACACAGGAATCCTGTGAAGAACATTTGTTACATCTCGTTAATATTATTTGAAGCAAGTACCATTAAAATCAGTGAAAAATACTTTAAACATCATGGAAAAAATAAAAAATGACTTATTAGGTGAAATCGAAGAAAAATGCAATGACATATAAAAATGAGTAATTTGCTTTTGTCATAATATAGAATGAATGGCTTTACGAAGATGCATTGTTCTAAAGTAAAAGAAAAAAAAAAGACATTTGATTAAAATTTGCCACCTACTTATCACTCTCAAAATGAACCAATTGTTCGGATGTGTGATCTAGCCAATGTGCTAAAATGATCTGTTATCTCCTCCTTGTGTACAAATCATGAGCAAAAGCAAAATACAAATAACTTACACTTTTAATAATTTGTAATAAAATTTGTATATTCTTAATTGTAAAAGGGGAATTGCTTGTAAATTGTCAAATTATAAATAAGTAAACATGCATTTTAATTGAGCACTTTCTATTCTTGCTCAGGTTTCAAAAATTCATTGATGGTAGAGACTGGAGGCTTCTTCTCACTGCTTTAAGTGTTGAGATATATTTCCTCAATATGAAAGAAATATTAATACCCACTTAAAGAGATCATCCATTGTAACCCTCAATTATGTGCATACATTGTATTCATCCAAATTTTTATGACCATGAATTATGAAAATATGATTTGTAAGGGAATAACTGATTATCAATTCTATTCTTCTGACTTTGAGGGACTAGTTTGTAAATAAAATGGCTTGTTCATCACATATTAAAAGAAAATTTTTTGAACAAAAGCAGCTGTTTGATTTTTTCCTAAATCTCTCAACTCTAAAATTATGAAACAAGTCAATGACTGAAGAAACTACTTTAATCTGGAATGCTATCCTATACACAAAATCTCTTTCAAACTAAATCATCAACTCTATCTACAAAAACAATGGAAAAAGAGGTTAAATAGCATCTGGAGTCAAAAAGATACCGTTAGGCATGCCAGTACAAATTGGAAAAAGTTTCTCTTGCTCATTGTTTTAGAGCAGTTTTTATTCTTACCTCAGTTTCTGTTTTAGCTTCGAATAGGCGTTGTTGTGAATCACTTGATAATTTAGTAAGTTGCACAAGCAGATCTTCAATGCGCTTCATATATGCTTTCTCATTCTTTTCTTGATTTTCTAGAGCAGCTTCATACTTTTTGGTGACAACTAAAACAAATGTTTATATCATTCTTTAAAGTAATAAAAAATATTACTCCTCATTACTAAGCAATCCTCGTAAGTATTTTGGAATTATGTTTTTAACATTAATATTCTTTATTGTTCCTTTATTATTTTCAGATTGCCAAGTTTCCCAACTTCTTTTTATGTACTCAATTTTTCACATTGACAAAATTTACAATTATTTTGTTATTTTTTAGTAGAGCGAATTTTTTCAACCTGCAGAACATGTAAACATAATCTGTTAAGTATTGAATGTGTCCATCTTCTCACTGAACGATGAGGATCAGAGGAGATAAGAGAAGGCTAAATGTCTTTCACATTCATGGAGAAATTAAAACTCTTGCTAGGTTTATGAATTGGGTAATTTATTGCAGACACCCATTAGATCAGAGCTAGGGAGGGTTGCCCTCACACCCGATCTCCCCTGGAGAGCATTACTACTTAACTTTAAATAAAATAAGAAAACAACAAAAAATGAAACTTATAGCACTCTTGTGTACAATGGAAAAATTAACTTTACTGTGTATATTCACATGGACTCAAAAAACCCTAAAATTCATTAATTCCAGTACATCGCAGACTGAGAATGACAAGGAATATAAATCTGATGTTAAACATTTGAAAGTTCGGAGATGTCTAACAATGATACATCAATTCATTCTTAGGTATTCCACAATTCTGATCCAAAAATTGTTTCAATTTGTTACTGATCTTAGAGCGGAGGGTTCAAACTCGTCAAAATATCCTTTTAACCGAAAAAAATCATAGATCCTTGTCATTTTGAAACAGCAATATAATCTTGAAAGGGTGATTTGCTCTTAGATTTCCTCATGTAGCACAATTCTACAGCAGAGCACCATGTGTACCTAGAATCTTGTATTTAGAACTGTCCTCTTGAGTTCATTTGAAGAATTTGAATAACATAAGTAATTCTAAATTTTATTGAAATTGAAGTTATGGGAAACTTACCTTCCAACTGGTTAGTCAATTCTTCTTTCTCATCAGTAGCTACCTTCAATTCGGACCGCATCTATGACCATTCAAAGAAAGGAAATAAATTAAAAATAAAGTGATTAATTGGTTAATTCAATTGATGATTCCAGAGATGACATATACTAGTTCAACAGTGCTACATTGTCATTGCTACAAGAGTAACATAATTTCTTCTTTGGTAGTTCTTATTGATACTGTAAAAATATTAAAAAGTTCTTAAAATGTCAGCCACCATAATTACATCAAATTTACTGTATCCTCAGGCCACACCTTTATTTAATTCCTAATAGTTGTATACAAGACAAAATATTATATTTTAAACTAGTGAAGCTATAGCAGCAAATACCACCACCACCTCCAATTGAGTTCATTTGAAGAATTTGAATAACACAAGTAATTCTAAATCTTATTGAAATTGAAGTTGTTCAGTTTCCTCAATCTGCAAGTCAAAACTGTCCATCGGTTATGACCCTATGTTTAAATTCCATTTTTGCTAGTTTTTTGTTAAGATCGGAGAATATCAATTTTCAAGAAATGAATGGAAGGCACTAGTGTTGACCACAGGTGGACAAACAAATATTTTGCTGTCAATCAATTTTTCAATATCGAGGACCCCAAACACATGGCTTCTGACTACACGTGTATGAGAAAGTAGTTTACTATCTACAGAAACAAGATTTATCCACTTTCTCATCAGCAGGGCCCAGCAATAGAGTGGTCTGTCAAAGAAAAAAAAAGTGTTTTTTCTCCGGCATTTTAGTACTTTCTCTATAGTACATACACAGTATGCGAAAAGAGGAAAATTAGTCATTCAAAAGTATTTAGGAGAGCAACAGACACTGACCCTCAACTATACCTCATGTTGATTTTGTATGGAAAGAAGATACACACGGAACTCAGAAACGAAAACGCAGCAAATGAAACACACACAGCCCATGGGAGGGTGAAGTTTACAGAGAAATACATATGTAGTAGTGGCACAAAATCAGTATGAAGGAACTCTTTTTAAAGAATTAGCTACTAACTTTGTCATTCTCTGCCAGGGCGACACGCATTTCTCTCACTGCAAGTTCTTTTCCCTCCCGAAGAGCATCAATTAGATCCTGGGTGCATCCTCGCTGTGCAGCGGCATTTTCAGCCATGCCTCTATATTTTGCAATTTCTTCAGCCTGACTACTAACTTGCTCTTGCAAAATGGTCATATCCTGTAATACACAAAAGGTGTGCGATTTCCAACAAAGTTTATATCATACACATATATACAAGTTTATATTATATATTATATTATGCATATATATACACACATACATACACGAAAGAGAGAGAGAAAGAGAGAGAGAAAGAGAGAAAGAGAGAGAGAGAGAAAGAGAGAGAAAGAGAGAGAGAGAAAGAGA